ATAGGTGGTAAATGGGTTACCCAGAGTGAGATTCCACAGGCCGCAGGGGAGGGGTGTGGGATGGGGAAGTAGAACTATACTCTGGCATTAACTGTGGCCTTTTTTTTTTTTTTTTTTTACATTTTGGTGCACATTTTGTTTGTTCCTTATCTGTCACTTTTTAAAAACCTGTCTATAATGATATTTATGTATTTCTATGCTAGAGGTCAAACATAGACTTTGGAGCATGCTGGCTACTTCTCCAGCTGTTTCCCCAAGTACCAGAGCCACATCAGTAACCCTGAGCAGTAGCCCCAGGCCAGCACTTGCTGGAGAAAGTGTCCTCCCAACTGACCACTTTCCCAGCCTACTGGATAACTGAGGTCATGGTCTAGCTTTAGATGATCTGATCAAACCCTCATGTTGACAATGGGGTGGTCAGTTCATACAGACAAAATAAGGCTAGTCCTAGGGAAGAGCAATCAGAATTAATGCCTAATTAATTACTTTCTCAGAAATTGTTAAGTGTTCTTATTGTCCTCAGCTTATGGAAAAGTGGAGTGTAGTAAGCCAAATAGTAGGCCGTAGGTCATGTAACAGTTAAGGGAATCTCAATTTCAGATTTGACTGGCCTTAGAAATACTACTAAGTACTGTTGTTGCTTTGTTGCACCTACGATTCCAGGTGCATTTCTTTCCGCTTTGGTTGATTAGCCAAGGAACTGGATAAAACCCATCTTCTCTTTCAACAGAAGGGGAGATGGCAAATGCTGCATTCATAGCACACACACAAATACATATACACACACACACACACCACCTCCATGTGGTAGGGCATCATTTCTGATGCACAGCGGCAAAACATTACAGCAAAGAGTCACATGGAATCAGTCTTTAAGCAAGATTAACCTGACAGTCACACTCACGTTTTTTGGGTCAAAACACTTTGAGGCAGAGAATTTCTCTTTCTTTCTTTCTTTCTTTCTTTCTTTCTTTCTTTCTTTCTTTCTTTCTTTCTTTCTTTCTTTCTTTTCTTTCTTTCTTTCTTTTTCTTTCTTTCTCTCTCTCTTTCTTTTTTCTTTCCTTCCTTCCTTTCTTTCTCTCCCTCTCTTCCTTTCTTCCTTCTTCCCTCTCTTTCTCCCTCCCTCTCTTCCTCCCTCCCTTCCTTTTTTCCTGACATGGTCATAAGGGAGCCTAATTAACAAGACAAGGATTGCTGAGAAACAGTGCAGTAGAAGTGTGATATGCAGCCCATGTGTTTAACCTGCTTCTGTGTGTTTGTAGTTTTATCCCTTTTTATCATTTTAGGCCTCAGATTCTCTCATCTGTAAGATAAGGGCAGTTGTATAATAAAATCTTAGGACTCTGGGGTAATATTCTGAATTGAATTATCAACTAATTGGAAAACTAAGAAAAGCGGGGGCATTTTGCTGTGGGCGTTGATTTTGAAGTTACCTAGATAGAAATAATCCAGGGAGTGATTGGTACCTACAAGTGGATGTTCTGCAGCATCACATCCCTGTACCCAAAACTGAATTTATCGTCTGCAATAGCCTCTGAGTTTCTTAGTTAATGCCTCTATCGTTGTTCTGACAAGGCAGACATTTGTGGTGGGTTGTGTTTTTTTCTTTTCATATACCTTTGTCTGGTAGACTTAAATTCTGTTGTCTCCAATGTATTTACTGTGTCCTAAACTTTTAGGTTTAGGATGGACACTTAACTGTCATGGTATTCCCTGAAGTTAGTGACCTCTGCTATCTCTTCAGTTTTGTCTTTTGACTCCTGTTTTATTGATGCTGTGCTCTGTGTTTCTGTGAGATGTCTGTACTGTTTTTAGTAATGTCAGTGCTGTCTTGTTTCATGGTATTTTTATTCTAAAAACTCTTTTTTGCCTCTTCTCTTTTGGGTTAGCCTTCTGCTTTGCTAACTCCTGTTCCTCCTTAAAAGCCAAGTTGCGTTGTGCTCTTTGCTGTCCTTTTCCTGTCTCCTGATCATAGTGGCTTGGTCCTTCAAGAAGTCATTGTATCATATAGATGTTTCTTTTCTAAAACTTCAGTTTTCTAAATATTTATTTCAATAGGTTTTCTTGACAATGACCTCCTCAAGAGGAGAGACTGATTCTTAGGACCAGAACACTTAGCACACAGGTTTATGTACAATATGGAAAATGTCTGGCTAAGGCCTCTAGTCCATACATCTGCTTGCTGACACATCTCAGAGAAAATGGTCAGTACGGTATTGTTGTGTTTCACTGATCTTTCATACTCTGATGCTGTCCTTTTAAGTCCTGACTGTCTCAGGTGGTTTGCTTTACTACTGACATGCATTTCTCTTTGCTACTTACATTGTTCTGGGAATCTGAGTTCTGTTCCCTCATGCTTGGGCAGAAGCACCTTACCACTGAGCCATCTCCTCAGCCTCTTTTAACAAAGATCCTTACATTGAAATTTATATTTTGTAAAACTAGAATGTGACCCGCCTAAACTGGACAAAAACAGTATTTTTGTCCTAGTGGGTCCTTCCCTCACCTCATAGCATATTTATAGTATGAATGAAATCTCAGAAGAACAGTACTATAATTAAACCAGAATATTCACGTCGTGTATAACCTTGTCTTGAGCACATGATCTGCAAAAAATGAACCATGCATTTCTTTTTAAACATTAGACAAAGGGGGTTAACTTGTAGAAACTTAATCAGCACTCAACAGCTTTCCATGGAGAATAAATATTACTTTCAAATCAGGTTGAAATCAGCACTTCTGTTCTTTGTGGCGAATCTTAGTGTTTGATCAAAATGCTACACTACATTCTGTAAAAACAGTATACATTCACAGTTGAGCTGTGTAATTGGCTAGTTGCAGGTCATTGGCTTAGAACTTTGAGCTTAGGAAAGTCACTACATCTCAAATTACAACTATTTCAGCAAGTATCTTTAATATATTTAATTTAGGTAACAGTTCCTTTTCTTTTCCACAAGTGTGAAAGATGTTTTAGTATGTGTATTTAAGTTTATGAATCTTAAAATATGCTTTTGTTGTTGTAAAATCATAGTGTACTTTTGATTGACAAGTTTATAATGATGAAATTTACAGTGAACATTTATAATTTATTTTAGAGTTGTTTTGAATCATGATGATAATTACCTTTTTTTTCCTATAAAGAAACTAATAGTATGGTAAAGGCACAAAGCAGGATTGAAATAATAAGCTGCTTGCAGCTAGTTATTTTAATAACTTCTTTTGATCTGACTTCTTAATCTCTTAGCTGGTAAAATGAAGAATAGTGAAAAGTCTTTTACCAGCCTTGAGATGCAGAGGTACTCTTTGACTAGGTATAGTAGTCAAACATTTATAATGTCCATAAATGCTGGAGACATTCAATGGTATTTGCTAGTATTTTCAGTAGTAGAGTAAAATGGAAAAAATCTCAATATCTTTAAATACTTTTTTACCAACTTGCTGGAATATTTTAGACTTAATTTAGAAATGGATGTCAGTTACAATAGAGAAATATTTAATTTTAAAACTTCATAAATAAAAAATTTTTGCTTTTTTAGGCAACTCTTTATACATAATATTCTTACTATTTTTTAAATCTTCCTATGTACCTTATTAAAGCAATGAAGTTGTGCTATATAATTTATTTATGTTCACATTTAAATATTTAAAACAATTAAAATCTTAACCTCAAGAGGAATAGTAAAGTTTTTTCAATTTTGTGCATATTTTATTTTTTCAATGTTAAACTAATTATAAATTATTATAGTATACATCTAATGTGGCGGTTCAACAAAAAAGTTTATTCATTTTGTTACATTTTTATCTGTTAAGTCCAATATAGATAAATAATTTCTACATTTAATTACTAATATCTAGGAAAGCACTAACAATTAGTTTTCTCTTTTTTGGTAGTGGCACTATGGATTAAGTGCAGAAATTTCTGTATGTGAAGCAGATTCTTTAGATTTTAGCATACCCATCTGCGTATATCCTAATTTTTAAATTATATCCTTATATAGGAGAAGGGTGTTTGCTAACACCATATTTGTTGACCATGGAAAAGGCCCTTAGAGTAGTTGATAGTTCTGTTATATATCTTCATTTTTGTGCATGAAATTTGTTATAGCTTTGTTAAATATATTCTTTATATGTAACTATTTAGTTTTTACAAAATTACAAATCATTTAACTCTTCATAGTGTATTTCGGGTCAGCATACTTATTTATACATCTTAAAATCAAATTTAATTATTTAGTCTACAAGAGTTTCTAAAACAAAGATCTTTTAGAAAAAGTTGCTTTATATTAAGTTGATATTTTAAAAGATGATAGAGATGTCATGTGTCTTTGTTGATTTCAATGTTACAATTAACATCTTTTAGCTATCAATAATTTTTAAAATGGGTTTTGAATTGTTTTTATAAGAATTTACCGTCAATTTTTTTTTTTTTTTACTGGCTTCAGAATTATGTTAGTGTATGTATATTGTAATAGGTTTGTCACAGTGAGGTTTGCATTAGATCCAAGTCATCTCTCACTTTTTATGCCCTAAGATCAGCAAACTCTGATACAAATTGTACATACAGGTCTTTTGCTTGCTTTCCATTCTTAAGAGTGTTTCTTGGAAATTGCTTTATTAATAATATGTTCTTTCTTTTTGTAAGTATACTTAGCAAAGAGACAGTTTCTTAAGTTCTGTTTTTCTTAGAAAGGAAATAGGTTTTTTTTTCTTGTTCTTGGGATTACACCAGGGTGCCTCACACATGGCTTGGCTGGCACTCTATCCCTGAGCTAGACCCTCTCCTCAAGTACATCTCGTTCATTTACTTAGCATACCCGCTCAGCCTGTTTTTTGTTTTCAGTACATTATTCTTACATTAAGTTTTACAGCGTTACTCAGTTCTACTATAGACTGTACATTGCTTTAGATTGACATTTGAATTAAGCATGCCAAAAAACCTATTTCATATTTCCTAATTGTAAATATAATATAAAATAATCAATACTTATTTTGTTTTTAAGATTAAAAACTGAAGCTCCCACTAAGGGAAAAGAATCTGTGTCTAAGGTAAAGTTTGTTTTATTTAATAACTTCATAATTTTTTTCATTTGGAAGAACTGTTGCCACAATTTTTCAAACAATTACAGTTGTAAATGAGTATCAGTAGCAATTACTGCTCTTTGTAGTATGAAAATAATTGAGACTAAAAAAGTCTCATTTAAAGTAAAATTGTAAGGTAAACACCTTTGTTTTGACAAAGAGATCACATATTTTGGTTTCTTTATTGTTTAGTTTAACTGTTGAGTGATGGTGATAAATTTGTGAGTTAAATTCCAACATCAGTAAAACCTCAGGCATTTAACACCATAAGAAATTCCAGATGGCCTAATATTTTGGGACATTAAAATTGGCAAAATATATAACAAAGAGAATAAAAGTATTTTGTGTGTGTATTATATTTTCATAGATGCCTAGAATTATCATGTAAACATTATTTGCTAGACGGTTTGGAAGATCTCTCTGATTATCTAGAAATAGTTTTGAGTTAGCCTTTGCTTTCTTAATAGTAGTTTGTTTTTAATTCTTTAATTTTTTTTTTCCTTTTTGTGAGTAGAATGAAGAGAGTCAGATTGAGCATTTGCTAAACAGCTTTTTTTTAACCATAGGAAGTATTCTTTGGTTTAAAAGGTTTTCAGCTACACATATGTTCTTTTATTGGATATGGGATTTTTAAATTGGTTTCTTCTTGAATGGGTTTCAGTGGTTGTGGTTCTCAAGGAATCGGTATATTTCCCCTAAGGTGCTGAACTCCGTTGAGTACAGTGTCACTTGCGGTGTTTCTGTTTGTCTTTCCAATATCTGTGGGTGCACAGTTATGTCTCTTCTTTTGCCTTTGGTAGTGAAAATGTTGCCCCATTGTCATGTTTTGCATTTTTTCATACTCTCTAAAGACAGAGATTACAATTTTGTGCCTTATGTAGCTAATCTTTTGAGTTCTTGAAAAACTTTAAAATTTATGTTTTATGACATTCATGTTTTTCTTTATTTTCCATGCTTTTCATTTCTTTGTAAACATTTTTGTTTCTCTCTTTGACTTAAAGACCTTTCTTTCACATATCTCATGTTATATAATTTTATATTAAAATATTTTCATTTGGGAAGATATTTTTGTTGGATATAGATTTCTAGATGGAGCGTTTTGTTATTTTCTTCAGTTGTTTAAAGAATTTGTTAACTCTTAGTTCTTGTCAAGTTGTCTGATCATTTCTGAATATATAATTTGTCATTTTTCTTTTGTTTCCCTCAAGATTTTATTTTCACTTGTCACCTGTTAGAACTTGATGTGCCTAAGTCTGTTTGATGTGTTTGCTTATTTATGTGCTGGTCTATTTGTGTCTTCAGTTATTTTTTATATTATGCTAATTGGTATATTTTCAACTGTCCCTTAGATGCTAGCTTTTGATTTTATATCTATTAAGGCCAATTGATGTTGACCCCTGTTTTTAAAAGCCTTGGGCTGGTTTCTACTTACCCAACTCATTCTTTTCATATTCGTTGCTTTCAGTTTGGATATTCTCTGTGTCCTGACCACTCACAATTGTGCAGAGGGGTTTTCAGTTGGACCTGTATACTGACAAGTCCTTCAATGTGCTTCTAGCTCTAAAGACTTTTTAGGGTTTGAGTTGAGTGTTTTCTGATTATCATTTATGATTCTCTATTGAAATTTATATTCTGCTCATGTATGCTGTGCCCCTTTCTAGCTAAAGCATTTAACCCATTAATTGTAGTAATTTAAACTTTTCTGGGCTGGAGAGATGGCTCAGCTCTTAAGAACATTTGCTGCTCTCGGAGAGGACCCAGGTTCAATTCCCAGCCGCCACATGGTGTCTTACAACTATGTGTAACTCAAATTTCAGGGTTCTGATGTTCTCTTCTGGCCTCCCTGAGCACTGGGCATGCACATAGTACACAGACATCCAATACACATGTTAGATATTTGAAAAGTTTCAAGGGTTTGGGTGGGTGAAGAGATGGCTCAGCACTTAAAGGCACTTGCTGCTCTTGCAGAGGACCTGGGTTTGGTTCCCAGCACCCACCTGGCAGCTCATAACCATCTGTAACTCTAGTTCCAAGGTATCCAACCCCCTTTCTGTCCAAATGGTAGCCATTAGTCACCCGTGATTACTGAGTACAAAGAAGTGGCAATATTAAAGAACTTGGGGAAATGCTATTACTCAGACCTGCTGATAGCACACTGTATAACTATTCCAAACAATCACACTGTATGCCACAAAAAGTACATTTCTTACAAGTCAACATACTATTTTAAAAGAGGGGCTGAAGAGATGACTTAGTTTAAAGCACTGGTTTCTCTTCTAGAGGACCCAGGTTCAATTTCTAGCACCACACATGCATGTGGTCACATGTATACATGAAGGGTAAAATATTCATGCACATAAAGAAATAAATCGTGGATATCGTTTTCTGTCTGGAGTACTTTAAGATGGCTCAGCTGGTAGTGTTTGTCAGGCATACATGAGGATTAGAGTTTAATCCCCAGCAGTCACGGTGGTACATACTTCTAATCTCAGTGCAAGGGAGGCAGAGACAGATCCCTGAGACTTGCTTTGAGCCTTATCAGTAAGCTCCAGGTCCCAAAGAAAGACCCTGTTTCAAAAAATAAGGTAGCAGAGAACATTGAGGAAAAGACTTGATGTTGACTCTGGCCTTCACTGCGTGCTCACACAAACGTACCTTTATTGACAGTTTCTCTGCCTAAAACTGAGATGGTTCAGAGCAGGTACAGTGCTTGCTGCCAAGCCTGATTACCTGAATTTGCTTCTACAGAACCTCAGAGGATAGAAGGAAAGAACAAACTCCTGAGATTTTCACATGTGTGCCATGGCATAAGCAGGCCATAGATACATAAATGAATATAAATGCATATCTATGTATTGTGTCTGTACATGCCTATACACATACATACATACACACACATAAAATGGAAAATAGGTATTCTTTCCACGGTGATTGTAAAGCTAGATGCAGTATCGTGTACCTATAGTTGTAGCTACAGAGCCCAGGACAGGCGGATTCTTTGGTCCCAGTAATTACACATCAGCCTAGGCAACATATGACATCCTGACTGTTAAAACACAAACCAAAACATAACCCAAGAACATCGATAGCCTACTGTTACTGCTTAGTATGAAAAAAAATATTATTTACCACCATTTTCATCATCAGTTTTTTTGTAAACCTAGCATGTAATATTGTTAGTCAGACTTTGTGTTGCTGTGACAGATACTTAGGAAAAAAACTAAAGAGAAGAAAGGTATGTATTTTGCTTCATGTTTCAGAAGTTTTGATCATGGTGGTTGGTGCCATTGCTTTGGGTCTAAGAGAGAGAAAATACCACATGAGCAGGAACAAAAGGACAGAGCAAAGCAGCTCACCTATGGCAGGCCGACAGAAAGCTCAGGGTGAGGGGAGGAGTCGATAGAGGTCCAAGTACATTACTCCAGTGACCTACCTCCTTCGTTTCCCACCTTTGAAAGCTTCCATCAACTACCAGCGTACAAAGGCACCAGTGGATTAATCTACTGATTACAGCAGAGTCCTCATGATTCAGTTCCTTCAGTACATGGAACTTCATATAGAAACTACAACAATGTGCTGCTTTTTGTAATTATTGATATATTTTTATTAAAATGTTATGTACATTTTACATGTAATTATGTACATAATTACTCAATGTTAACTCAATATTTCATTAACTGCACTAGTTAGAGTAAATATATTAATTTATACTAAACTTTTCAAACAAAAACCACATCTAAACAGCCAATTTGGTGTAGTGTTCAGAAGAAAATGTGTGGAGAAATTGAACACAAATAAAATGGGTTGGAGCGTTGGCTCAGGTGGTAGAGTGTTTGGCTACCATTGCATAGAGCCCTGAATTCCATCCTTGACTCAGGCCTGTCATCACCACACATGTGAAGTAGAGACAAGAGGGTCAGGAGCTCCAGGCCATCCTGACTTCACAGTGTAATTGGAGCCCACCGGGACTAAATGAGACCCTAGCTCAAAAAGCCAGTAGAAAATATGTAGAGTATGAAATTCTTAACTAGAAAGATCATAGTTTCATAAAAGTTTCTTTTAGATAGGTATACGATAATGGAATAAAAGTAATAGGTTTATACAAGGCAGTATGTCAATATTTCTCACCCAAATAATCATGATACATTCTGTGCTTATTAGCTCATAATTACAGATTCCATACCTACTGAATTATTATTGAGCGCTATTTGCAAGTTCCCATAATTTTGTCTATTGTGTGAATTTCTTAGAAGGTCTTGGTACCTTCCAAGTTTTAAGCTGTGTATGGTAATCTTGGCTAGCAGTTATTTTTTCTGTCAGGATTTAGCATGTTAACTCATGCCTTCCAGGCTTTCCGGGTTTCTACTGAAAGGAGTCACTTTGTTCCTATGAGTTTGACTTTGTGAGTTGGTGTTTCTCTCCTAATAGCAATTAAATATTGTTTATGTGCTCTGTACTCCAGGCATTTCAACTCTTAGTGTGACATAGTTTTTTTCTGGTCTTGTCTGTTGGGATTCTAAACTTGAACTTGAATATATTGTTTACACTATTTGGGGCTTTTTCTGCTATAAATTCATTGCATAGGTTTCTGTGTTTTTTGTTAATATTCTCAATTACTTCTAACTTATAGATTCTTGGGTTTGATCTCTTCATCATGTCCCAGAGTTACTGAAATTTGCAATAAAGATTGTTATCTATTTTTGTTTGTTCATTTTCTGCTTTAATGATATCTGAATGCAATTTCCTCTGCCTTGTTTTCCATCCCTGCTATTCTTTCCTCTGCTTTATCTGGTCTGTTTGTGTTAAGTTGCATTGTGTTTCATATTTTATCATGTTTTTCATGTCTAATGTTGCCTTGCTTTTTAGCATTTCTTGTGTTTCTGAGTTGCAGCTTGTGTGTTGGGATGGATATCTTTTCTAATTTTACTTGGAAGTAGGCAGCCTTTTCATTGAGAACTCAGTCAGTA